GCCCTGACATCACCCCGCCACAGGCTGCGGCTTCCAGGGCTCATACACACCGCAGATTTCTTAGTGTTGTTGACAACGGGACATGACGTGAGCAAAACATACAACAATATGTACAGTCACCATGATGACCACTTCCGGGACACTTTCCTCCATGGTTTTCTAAACATCATTGTGGCGAGTGCCGAGACCAGGTTCTTGTAGGCAGAGCGCCGAAGAGAGCCACTGCACATACTGGCCAATTCAGAGCCATTTGTTTTATTGAATGCAAAACATCAGATGCTGTGGTGTAAAGCACGCCGCCACTGGACTTTAGAGCAGTGGAGTCGTGTTCTCTGGAGTGATCAATCACACTTCTCTGTGTGGCAATCTGATGGACATGTCTGGGTTTGGCGGTTGCCAGGAGAACAGTTCTTGCTTGACTGCATTGTGCCAAGTGTAAAGTTTGGTGGAGGAGGGATTATGGTGTAGGGTCGTTTTTCAGGGGTTGGACTTGGCCCCCTAGTTCCAGTGAAGGGAACTCTTAAGGCATCAGCATACCAAGACATTTTGTTCAATTTCATGCTCCCAACTTTGTGGGAAGAGTTTGGGGATGGCTCCTTCTTGTTCCAACATGACTGCCCACCAGTGCACAAAGCAAGGTCCATAAATACATGGAGGAGCCAGTTTGGGGTGGAGGAACTTGACTGTCCTGCACAGAGTCCTGACCTCAACCCCATAGAACACCTTTGGGATGAATTAGAGCAGAGACTGTGAGCCAGGCCTCCTCCCCCGACATCAGTGCCTGACCTGACAAATGTGCTTCTGGAAGAATGGTCCAACCTTCCCATAGACACCCTCCTAAACCTTGTGGACGGCCTTCCCAGAAGAGTTGAAGCTGTTATAGCTGCAAAGGGCGGGGCCAACTCAATATTGAACCCTATGGACCAAGACTGGGAGGCCATTAAAGTTCATGTGCGTGGAAAGGGCGGGGCCAACTCAATATTGAGCCCTACAGACTAAGACTGGGGGGCCATTAAAGGTCATGTGTGTGGAAAGGCCAGCCGACCAATACTTTCGGCAATATAGTGTATGTCACATTTTGTATGGTATGGTGACCCTGTACAGTGCAGCGTGTTGGTTGATGAGGTTTTGAAATGGTGAAACGTAGACATGATCAACAAAAGCTGCCATAAGAGAAAGTGATGGAAAAAAAACAGCAAATAGTCATACCAACAAATAATGTAATGGGGTACTCTTATGTAAGGGGGGAATCCGACTGGGACTCTGATGTAAGAGGGGGACTTGATGGGGACCCTGATGTAAGGGGAACTCTGATGGGGACTCTAATGTATGGGAGGATCTGACTGGGACTCTGATGTAAGGGGGGAATCCGACTGAGACCCTGATGTACGGGGGACTTTGATGGGGACCCTGATGTAAGGCGAACTCTGATGGGGACCCTGATATAATGGGGGGACTCTTATATAAGGGGGGGACTCTGATCGAGACCCTGATGTAAGGGGGGGTATCCGATTGGGACCCTTATGTAAGGGGGACCTTGATGTAAATGGGGGACTTGATGAGGACCCTTATGTAAAGGGTGAATCCGATTGGGACCCTGATGTAAGGTGGACTTTTATGGGGACCCCGATGTAAGAGGGGAATATGATGGGGTCCTTGATGTAAGGGGAACTCTGATGGGGACCCTGAAATAATGGGGTGATCTTATGTAAGGGGGGCCTCTGATGGAGACCCTGATGTAAGGGGGGTATCCGATTGGGACCCTTATGTAAGTGGACCCTGATGTAAGAGGGGGACTTGATGGGGACCCTGATGTAAGAGGGGGACTTGATGGGGACCCTGATGTAAGGGGGGAATCCGATTGGGACCCTTATGTAAGGGGACCCTGATGTACGAGGGGGACTTGATGAGGACCCTGATGTAAGGGGGGAATCCGATTGAGACCCTTATGTAAGGGGGACTTTTATGGGGAACCCGATGTAAGAGAGGGACTGTAAGGGGGGACTCTGATGGGGTCTCTGATGTAAGGGGGACTCTGATGGGGTCTCTGATGTAAGGAAGACTCTGATGAGGACACCGATGTAAGGGGAGACTCTACTGAAGACCCTTATGTAAGAGGGGACTCTGATATAAGGGGAGATTTTTGAGGGAGATCTTTTGTTGTAGACCCTAATGTAGGAGGGACTCCGATGAGGGCTCTGATGTACAGAAGGCTCCAACAGGGACCCTGTTCTAAACGGTTATTTACAAGGTTTTTTTTTTTATTCTCCTACTGAAAAGTTTGGCGCCCGCTGATTTCATGAAAGTTTTGTTGTTTTCATCACAACCCACAGGAACAGATGTTACAGAAATACTTTTCTCTGCGTTAACCCGCGAGGGAGAAATCGTCGTTGTCCGGATTCACACTGTCGTCCTATAAATCGCTGTGCGTCTTCGATGTGCGTTTGCGGTTTAGCGCCCTTGTCGCTCAGCGTTTGCGTCTTGTTATATTTTTAATGCACAAAAATGCAGCAGAATGAGTGCCGGTTTGCAGAGGAATAGCAAAGTGTAAGGAAGGACGGGCGCAAAGACTCAGCGCTTTGTAAGGCTGTGCTGTGAGATCCATGAGCGGGTCGATCGGTAGATCCACGAGTAGATCAGTAGATCCATGAGCGGATCGATCAGTAGATCCACGAGTAGATCGGATCGATCAGTAGATCCAAGAGCGGATCGATCAGTAGATCCACGAGCGGATCGATCAGTAGATCCACGATCGATCAGTAGATCCAAGAGCGACCGATCAGTAGATCCACGAGAGCGGATCCATGAGCGATCAGTAGGTCCAAGAGCTGATCGATCAGTAGATCCAAGAGCGGATCGATCAGTAGATCCATGAGCGGATCGATCAGTAGGTCCATGAGCGGATCGATCAGTAGATCCACGAGCGGATCGATCAGTAGATCCACGAGCGGATCGGATCGAGCGGATCGATCAGTAGGTCCAGCGGATCGAGCGGATCGATCAGTAGGTCCACGAGCGGATCGATCAGTAGGTCCACGAGCGGATCGATCAGTAGGGTCACGAGCGGATCGATCAGTAGATCAGTCCACGAGCGGATCGATCAGTAGATCCGCGAGCGGATCGATCAGTAGATCCACGAGCGGATCGATCAGTAGATCCGCGAGCGGATCGATCAGTAGATCCGCGAGCGGATCGATCAGATCAACGAGGATCGATCAGTAGATCCACGAGCGGATCGATCAGTAGGTCGGCGAGCGGATAGATCAGTAGGTCGGCGAGCGGATAGATCAGTAGGTCGGCGAGCGGATAGATCAGTAGGTCGGCGAGCGGATCAGTCGATCAGAGCGGATCGATCAGTAGATCCACGAGCGGATCAATCAGGTCAACGAGCAGTATCGATCAATAGGTCCACGAGCGGATCGATCAGTAGATCCACGAGCGGATCGATCAGTAGGTCGATGAGCGGATCGATCAGTAGATCCATGAGCAGATCCATGAGAAGGGTGCCTGAGCCCTGTGTCGGGTAATTAATTGGCCTTCACAGTCATGAAGGGGTTAAATGGTGAACAGATATTCCCCCAGGCAGGAGCAGAGGAATGTGCATGTTGCTGGATTGTATTCACAGGCCAGGAATGCAGGAAGGGTTGGGCTGCAGGTGATGGGCGGCTCTGTATTCGTATTATAATGGTGAGGTGAGATCTGGGGATTTTTCCTCCCACCTCAATATGAAACTTTCCTTACTAGTCATCCGCCGGGGTGTGCAGAGCATTGACCTACAGACTCGGCAGAGAGGGGGGGGGTGGTAAAAGAGGAACAAGTAAGGGGAATGATGGGCGACACCACACAAACCAACATCGAATAATCAGCAAGGAGCATTCGGCCAACAAACCTCTTGTGACTGACATATTGGTAAAGAAAAAAATGACGTAAGCAATTTTTGAATGCCAGGACAATGGCTGAGGCTGTTTGGGGGTCGGGGTTACAGTAGTCAGCAATGTAGGAGTTTGGGATGAGGTTAGTAACTTCCTATTGGCTCTGGTGATCACCAAGTTTTCTGGTGCTTCATATAAAAAAAAAATAATAATAATGTTCCCAATGGAGATATGAAAAATATATCCAATTTTATTGATCCAGGACCGATAAAGGTCCCACTTCAGCTCTGGAAAATGTTAACCCCTTCTGGTCCATTTTTTGCTCTTTAGCACTGCACTACTTGTAACTGCGTGGTCATGCAGCGTTGTACCCAAACAAAAGTTCTATTATTTTTTTCACACAAGTAGAGCTTTTTTGGTGGTATTTGATCACCAGTGTTTTTTTTTTTTATATTTTGCAATATGAATGAAAAAAAGATCAAAAATAAAAAAAAAAAGCCAACATTTTTTACTTTCTGCTATAAAACATCCATTATAAAAATAAATAAATTAGATTTCTTCATAACTTTCGGCCACAATGTATTCTGCTACATTTCTTCGGTAAAAATAAAATCCCAATCTGTGTATATTGACTGGTTTGCGTGAAAGTTATAGCATCAACAATCTTTGATATATATATATATTAGAATTTGAATTTGTTTTAATTTTTTTATACTACTAATGGTGGTGATTAGTGAATTATAATGGGATTGCGATAGTGCAGAGGGTAATCTGACACTAACTGATGTTGGGGGGAACTGACTTACTGCCTCTGACATTAATACAGTGATCAGTAGTAATACTATACACTGTCACTGTGCTAATGACACTGGCTGGGAAGGGGTTAACATCTAGGGGCGATCAAGGGGTTAACTGTGTGCCTAACTGCGTCATGTGTGCTGCTTTTACTAATAGAGCTCCGCTTTGCAGGGATGAGAAACACAAAGATTGCTCCCTCTGTACAGAACTCTGTGTTGTTTGCCAACACAGAGCTCTGGGCTTTGATTGCACACAGCCGATCAGCAGGTCCTGACTGTGAATCATTGGCTGGCACTCACTGACAGACTCCTACTGTGTACAGCTGGTACCGGGCAGGGGGCAGAAGTACTACAAGAGAGGGTCAGAGACTGCAGACATACTACAGGAGAGGGTCAGAGACCGCAGATGTACTACAGGAGAGGGTCAGAGACCGCAGATGTACTACAGGAGAGGGTCAGAGACCGCAAACGTACTACAGGAGAGGGTCAGAGACCGCAAACGTACTACAGGAGAGGGTCAGAGACCGCAAACGTACTACAGCAAACGTACTACAGGAGAGGGTCAGAGACCGCAGACGTCTACAGAGAGGGTCAGAGACCGCAGACGTACTACAGGAGAGGGTCAGAGACCGCAGACGTACTACAGGAGAGGGTCAGAGACCGCAGACGTACAGAGAGGGTCAGAGACCGCAGACGTACTACTGTAGCATGTCTGCAGTCTCTGACCATCTCCTGTAGTATGTCTGAAGTCTCTGACCATCTCCTGTAGCATGTCTGCAGTCTCTGACCATCTCTTGTAGTATTGACCTGAAAGCCAGTGAATGAAAGGGGCAGGGCCAGGGACAGTCAGGCTGGGGAGGAAAGAACTAGATGATGCTGGACGTCCTCCAGCCAGGAAATGAGGCGGAGCTCTATCTGACTTGCTGCAGCTTCTAATGCACATTGTGAGAATCTCCCAGTGTGCAGTGACATCAGAGGAAGCCGCTACAGTCCAGGAGAGGAGCCAGTACACCTGTGCAAGACTGGAGGGGAGGAGCCAGTACACCTGTGCAAGACTGGAGGGGAGGGGCCGGTACACCTGTGCAAGACTGGAGGGGAGGAGCCGGTACACCTGTGCAAGACTGGAGGGGAGGAGCCGGTACACCTGTGCAAGACTGGAGGGGAGGAGCTGGTACACCTGTGCAAGACTGGAGGGGAGGGGCCGGTACACCTGTGCGAGACTGGAGGGGAGGAGCCGGTACGCCTGTGCGAGACTGGAGGGGAGGAGCCGGCACACCTGTGCGAGACTGGAGGGGGAGGAGCCTGGGGACACACCTGTGCGAGACTGTAGGGGAGGAGCCGGCACACCTGTGCGAGACTGTAGGGGAGGAGCCGGCACACCTGTGCGAGACTGTAGGGGAGGAGCCGGCACACCTGTGCGAGACTGTAGGGGAGGAGCCGGCACACCTGTGCGAGACTGTAGGGGAGGAGCCGGCACACCTGTGCGAGACTGTAGGGGAGGAGCCGGCACACCCCTGTGCGAGACTGAAGGGGAGGAGCCGGCACGCCTGTGCGAGACTGGAGGGGAGGAGCCGGCACGCCTGTGCGAGACTGGAGGGGAGGAGCCGGCACGCCTGTGCGAGACTGGAGGGGAGGAGCCGGCACGCCTGTGCGAGACTGGAGGGGAGGAGCCGGCACACCTGTGCGAGACTGTAGGGGAGGAGCCGGCACACCTGGAGGTGCGACACCTGACTGTAGGGGAGGAGGAGCCGGCACACCTGTGCGAGACTGTAGGGGAGGAGCCGGCACACCTGTGCGAGACTGTAGGGGAGGAGCCGGCACACCTGTGCGAGACTGAAGGGGAGGAGGAGCCGGCACACCTGTGCGAGACTGGAGGGGAGGAGCCGGCACACCTGTGCGAGACTGGAGGGGAGGAGCCGGTACACCTGTGCAAGACTGGAGGGGAGGAGCCGGTACACCTGTGCAAGACTGGAGGGGAGGAGCCGGTACACCTGTGCAAGACTGGAGGAGGATTTCATTGTTATATCTGAGTGTGGATGTGGGCCATTGGTTGGCAGTGCGTTCTCACTGGACAAGTATTTCAGTGTCTGTAGCGATTTATAGTCCCTCTGATACCAGATTGGCAGACGTGTCGGTATGTTTCGTGTTCAATGTGAAGCTGGGCTGCCTTCCAGTTCTGACATTTCCTGGAATCTGGATGGATACAGAGAAATGGGATGTCACCTCAGTGTAGCGCAAAGAGACTTTCTCCTGTAGCGTGTCTGCGGTCTCTGACCATCTCCTGTAGCGTGTCTGCGGTCTCTGACCGTCTCCTGTAGCGTGTCTGCGGTCTCTGACCGTCTCCTGTAGCGTGTCTGCGGTCTCTGACCGTCTCCTGTAGCGTGTCTGCGGTCTCTGACCGTCTCCTGTAGCGTGTCTGCGGTCTCTGACCGTCTCCTGTAGCGTGTCTGTGACCGTCTGTAGGTCTTTGACCGTCTCCTGTAGCATGTCTGCAGTCTCTGACCCTCTCTTGTAGTATGTCTGCAGTCTGACAGTTTATGGAGCATTACATACACTGAAAGTTATGTGTGGCCCCCTGTGTGATACCAGTGGGCCCCTATATCGGGTAAGTTGCCCTCTTCTGCTGCAGAAGCATGCCATGTCTCGGCTGATGTTTGCAGCGTTGGCTCTGCTCCCTCTCGGTGTTGTTGTGGTTTCTTTGGCGGGGGGTGATCACTGTTGGGAGTGCGGCCAGGTTGTACGCCCCAGCGCCTGCAGCTCATCCTCTGTATGTTCTTCTCTCGCTGGCTGGAAATGCTGAGATCTGTTATGGAAAGAAACTGTCAATGCGAAGAACCAGTGTTACACAACAGGTGTGATGGGACTTGTAGTTCCTCAGGATGAAGAGGTCTCCTCTTCATCCTGAGGAACTACACGTCCCATCACACCTGTTGGCCGTTGGTTATGTATTCCAGGGGAAGAAGTCGGATTCGCTCTTTCATGGTTCCGACTCCTCTATACTGATGGATCTTGTGGTTGGGGGTCACTGACCTTTCACCACCATTATTGCTCCTTTTGCGTTGCTTTATCGGGTCAATTGAACAAAAAGAATCTACACTCACCCGCCACTATATTAGGTCCACCTGTTCATTTGGTAACACAAATAGCTAATCAGCCAATCACACGGCAGCAACTCCATGTATTTAGGCATCTAGACGTGGTGAAGACGACTTGCTGAAATTCAAACCGAGCATCAGAATGGGAAAGAAGGGGATTTAAGTGACTTTGAACATGGCACGGTTGTTGGTGCCAGATGGGCTGGTCTGAGTATTTCAAAACCTGCTGATCTGCTGCGATTTTCACACACATCCAACTCTAGGGTTTACAGAGAATGGTCCGAAAAAGAGAAAATATCCAGTGAGCGGCAGTTGTATGGAGGGAAAACGAGCAGAGGTTGCTGCGACATTCAGATGGTAGGGTCAGAATTTGGCAACATGAAAGCATGGATCCATCCTGCCTTGTATCAGCGGTTCAGGCTGGAGGTGGTGGTGTCATGGTGTGGGGAATCATGCCTTGTATCAGCGGTTCAGTGGGGTGCCAATCCATCTTGCCTTGTATCATCGGTTCAGGCTGGTTCAGTGGTGGTGTCATGGTGTGGTGGATCAATCCTGCCTTGTATCAGCGGTTCAGTGGTGGTGGTGTCATGGTGTGGTGGATCCATCCTGCCTTGTATCAATGGTTCAGGCTGGTGGTGGTGGTGTCATGGTGTGGTGGATCCATCCTGCCTTGTATCAATGGTTCAGGCTGGTGGTGGTGGTGTCATGGTGTGGTGGATCCATCCTGCCTTGTATCAATGGTTCAGGCTGGTGGTGGTGGTGTCATGGTGTGGTGGATCCATCCTGCCTTGTATCAATGGTTCAGGCTGGTGGTGGTGGTGTCATGGTGTGGTGGATCCATCCTGCCTTGTATCAATGGTTCAGGCTGGTGGTGGTGGTGTGTCATGGTGTGGTGGATCCATCCTGCCTTTATCAATGGTTCAGGCTGGTGGTGGTGTCATGGTGTGGTGGATCCATCCTGCCTTGTATCAGCGGTTCAGGCTGGAGGTGGTGGTGCCATGGTGTGATGGATCCATCCTGCCTTGTATCATCGGTTCAGGCTGGTGGTGGTGTCATGGTGTGGTGGATCCATCCTGCCTTGTATCAGTGGTTCAGGCTGGAGGTGGTGGTGCCATGGTGTGGTGGATCCATCCTGCCTTGTATCAGCGGTTCAGGCTGGTGGTGGTGGTGTCATGGTGTGGTGGATCCATTCTGCCTTGTATCAGTGTTCAGACTGGTGGTGGTGGTGTCATGGTGTGGTGGATCCATCCTGCATTCTATCAATGGTTCAAGCTGGTGGTGGTGTCATAATGTGGGGCAGATTTTCTTGGCACTAGCAAGGTGAACCTAATAAAGTGGCCGGAGAGTGTAAATTCCAGATATAGGTGGATTCATTTTATGGAAATTACTTTGTGGCTTTTTATATAATGAAGAGTTTCTGTCCCAACAACCTGGAAGGCATCTCACTTTGCTGCATCCTCTGCAATACAAAATAATCCATTAGAAAATGGGTGGACATGGCTGGGAACTCCGGAGTGGAGAACTCATCCCAAGAGGTAGAAGAAGCTGCTGTAGGACTTTCAGAAACCTGTTATTGGCCTCCCGTACCCTGGCTGGATTATGGCACCCTTCGGGGCCTGGAGAAGGTTATGGAACACTTTTGGGCCCAGGCTGAATTATGGTATCACTTTGGGGATCAGGCTGTGACACAGCATCCAAGGGGGCCCAGTCTGAATTATGATATCACCTTGCAGATCAGGCTGTGACACAGCATCCAAGGGGGCCCAGGCTGGATTAAGGCACCCTTTAAAACCCTGGCTGAGTTATGGCCCCCAACGGGGCCTGAGCTGAACCTTCTGTGTCCCATACTGAATTTTGGTACGCTCTGGGAGACCATGTTATATTATGGCACCCTCAGGGGGTCAGGACTGGATCATCATACCCTCATAGTCCTTGGCTGGATTATGGCACTTTTGCAGTCCCAGGCTGAATTATGGCACCTTCCAAGACCCAGGTTGAGTTATGTCACTCGTCTGGGCTGAATTAGGGCATCTTCAGGGGCTGGGACTGGATCATGGTACCCTCTGGAGCCCAGGTTAGATTATGGCACTTTTGCAGTTCCAGGCTGAATCATGGCACCTTCCAAGACCCAGGTTGAGTTATGTCACTCGGCTGGGCTGAATTAGGGCATCTTCCTGGGACTGGATCATGGTACCCTCTGGAGCCCAGGTTAGATTATGGCACTTTTGCAGTCCCAGGCTGAATCATGGCACCTTCCAAGACCCAGGTTGAGTTATGTCACTCTCCTGGGCCTGGGCTGAATTAGGGCATCTTCAGGGTCCGGGACTGGATCATGGTACCCTCTGGGGCCCAGGTTGGATTATGGCACCTTCCAAGACCCAGGTTGAGTTATGTCACCCTCCGGGCTTGGGCTGGATTACGGCACCTTCCAGGGACCAGGCTGGATTACGGCACCTTCCAGGGACCAGGCTGGATTACGGCACCTTCCAGGGACCAGGCTGGATTACGGCACCTTCCAGGGACCAGGCTGGATTATGGAACCTTCCAGGGACCAGGCTGGATTATGGAACCTTCCAGGGACCAGGTGGATTATGGCACCTTCTAGGGACCAGGATAGATTATGGCATCCATTATGAATGGCACACCAACTGGGGTTATCCTCTGCTGAGTGGCATAGGAGAGAAATGATGGTGAGCCCAGGCTGTATTGTGGCATCCCTGGGACCCAGGCTGGCTTATGGCACCCTCCAGGGACCAAGATGAGTTATGGCACCCTCCAGGAGCAGGCCGGGTTATGGCACCCTCCAGGGAGCAGGCCAGGTTATGGCACCCTCCAGGGAGCAGGCCGGGTTATGGCGTCCATTATGAATGGCACACCAACTGGCATTGTCCTCTGCTGAGTGGCATGGGAGAGAACTGATGGTGAGCCCGGTGTGGGAATGTTTTGCCCCCTCCATGCCATCCATTGCTACCATCATATAAAGAACAGATCTGATCTTTCACCAGGTTTGCACATAATTTCCCAGAATCCTTTCAGCTCGGAAGCACCTGGTACAAATATGAAGAATCCAGAGCCAGCTGGAAAATTCCTGAAACAATTTTTTTGTAAAAGTGCCAAAAATGTATTTTATCACTCAACCGATTGTGCCGGGCCCCCGGCCCTCCTCTGACCCCGTCATATTCTATGTAGGATGTATTTACATTGCTGGTGTGGTCATACGGGGGTTACGTAGAAGAGGCGTTATTTTTGTCCAGGATTGTGAAATGCGGAGAGCAGTAATCGGTTTTTATCTTCTCCAGAATGATGACACTCATCGTCTTGTCCGCCCGCGCCGGCTCATTCACTGCTGGAAACTCGCTGTCTCATTCACATGCAGCGGAAAAATTCAGACTGTTGTCCTCGCTGAGTTCTGGCAGAAATATGGGAGGCGTTCCATCAGGATGACCATGTTTGTGCAGACATGTCCCTGTATTTCCCATCTGATTACCCAACATAACTGTTATTTTTGTATCTAGTGTGTCTGTTCTGTATATTATGTTCAGCGTTTGACATTTTGCAGCAGTGGAAACGATGGGCGCCATAATGGAACATGGGGCCCGGGATGGTGCTGTAATTGCAATGTAATGCAACCTGTGGCCCCAGGATGTCGCTGTAATGTGGCATAGAGCCCCAGGATGTTGCCATGATGCAGGGCAGTGCCCCAGGCTATCAGCCTCAAAGTCAGCCACAAGGCAAGCTGCTATCCAAAAGAGTCACTTGTCATGTATTTGTCTATGATGTATTGAACAGCATCAGTTTATTATTGTCCAGTAGGATGCTGACTTCTAGTGGAGGTTTTGGGCCACTACAACTTGTTTACTATGTACTTTTGGTTTCTTCTTCTGTCCTCCCCTCCTTATTTAGTGCGAGTTAGTTCACTCGTAGCTAAACCCTCCCCATTTCTTCTGTGTTC